AGATAGATAGATAGATAGATAGATAGATAGATAGATAGATAGATAGATAGATAGATAGATAGATAGATATATATAGAGAGAATGCCTCTCTAAATAACAATATTTTTCCAACTATAAAACGCATTCCTCCCCAAAGTGGGTGGAAATGTCCTTGCGTCTTATAGAAAGAATATTACGATGGGGAGAGGGGGGATTGATAAACTGTTCTAGGTGGGGTTTGCTGCAAATAGGCTGCGGCAGTGGCGAACAGGTGGAGGCAGAGGCAGATTTTTTTTGTTTTCCTCCTCTAAAGGAAGGGGAGGAGTGCATCTCCTCTAAAGGAAGGGGAGGAGTGCGTCTTATAGTCTGAAAAATATGGTTCTTGATTAATCGGTAAACGTAGAAAAACTGGAAACAAGAGTAGAAAGGAGAAATATTCTCTTTCATAGAGTCTTATGTAATTACATAATTTGGTAGTTTAGATTTTCACTTAGAATATAACATTTATATTCCTTTATATACCGTTATAAATAAAAGGTAACAATAGCACCTCATTAGTATTCATTAGCTGTGTCTTATTTGAAGGCTGCAGTATAAGGGCTTCACTCAGTCATAAAGTTTTTTAAAAAAATACATAATAATGTCTGACAATAGTTTGTTTTGTACTCTATATTTGGACTATTAGCTATAGATTTGAATAGGATATTCCCTTTCAAGAGGCTTGTCCAAGATGGCAACGGCAATAAATTGATCAAAGAACTGGAGCATTTTATTTGTAAGCAAAATTACTGTTCAGAACTCCTTAGCTTATGAAATAAGATATCCTAGAAATTATATTCTTCAATAAATAAATTCTTGTAAGAACATTAGTTAAATTAATTGGCCCTTGATTTGGAACAATCAATGCATACTTGATTTAGAGCATTTGTTGTCACAAGGTAATAGGATTACTTTAAAAAAAATCAATGGAGACCAAGGCCAAGAATAGTATGATAATGTCATAAGACTTCCAAATTTATAACCAACGTTCTACTGTGTTGTCCTGGTTGCTATGCCCAATTTCCACCAAGTGGCTCAATTTGTGGTCGCAGAAGCCAAGGAGCTGTCCAGCAGAATATTATTTGAGATGATCAAAATAGCAGGGAGCTGTCCAATGAAAACAAAGAACACAAATATCTGACATTATACTTTCAGTGTTGTACACTTTTATGTGGGTGGCTGTGTTGATCTGTCCATTCTAGATTGTCTTTAAGCACTGATCCTGTACTACCAGAAAACATTTCTCAAGAAAATAAGTCAAGTCATTGTTTTTGTGCTGACAGATAGCTGGATCTTAAATTCTGCATTTCCTGTTAAATTTGCTGCCACTATTCATCCTGGAAGTAATTTTGATGGATCTCAGTCTGAAGGAACTCCACATATATAAAAGAAATGGCACAATGTACCAAATCTGCATCATTTTATTACATCTGAAGCTGAACGCATTCTTAAAAAAATATAATACTAGAACACTTGTCAATACTGTAGGCAACATAGGCCTCTTCCTTTATGGAAGAAAAGAGGAGACCTTACTGCAATTTAGAGGTTTATATTCAAAAGGAAAGTGTTTAACTTCTGTTATCTTGCCTGTTTACTGGAACAGTAATCCACAGTTTCTTCCTTAATATATTTGGGATTACCTGTCTATCTCAGGATGCCAAATTAAAAAATATTTCATATTGGATTGAGCTGGGGATTCTAATTTTTTCCACTTTATATAAAGTAGCTGTTACATCCAGCAACTATTATAGATTTGTCATTGTAGTTCATATCTGCATCATGATGAGTAGGCATTTGTCACAATTTTCTGTCAGTAACATCTTTGAATTCTTACCAACTCCTGCTTAAGTCATCAGTGATAGTTATCTAATCATCTTGTTTCCTATCGGCCTTTTTTTTGTTGATTCATTATCAGTGCTTCCAGTAAACAGTTTTATTTCATCTGGTAATGAATAATCTGTTTGCAACAATTTTCTGCCGCATCAGTTTTTCTTTGTTCAGTCTTTTTCATGGTACACTTCTGCTATATGTTACAACTTGGGAAACTATGGCCTTGACAATACATACTTGTGTTGTCAAGGTGACATCTCTGCACTTAATGTTTTGTCTATTTTACAGCTATTGTCATTTTTGTCATAAGTGGTAGATGTTTATTTCATGGTTAGAGTCATTATGCCTTCATTTTTGAGCCAATGAATTGCTACTGCAATGTCTTTTCCATCTATTTGCATTATATTATTATCCATATTAATATAAATCTTATGGTGTGTGTTTTTAAAAAAATATTGAGCAGCGGTTTCACTCCTGGCAAAAAAATTCTTAATCTTCCTTTCTTCCAGCTTTAAAAGCATATCTTAAGTTCCTATTTCTCCCAACAAGTTTAATTCCAATTTTTATTTCTGCCAACCCTCATTATATATGCTGCATATAAGCTAAATAAATAAGAAGACCATTTACCATCTTAATACTCTATTTTTCAGTTTTGAACCATTTATCTGTGCTGTATTCTGTTCCATCTGTTGATTTTTGGCAATGAAACGTATTCTTCTATAGGCTAATAAGATGGCATGGTACATTCATGTTTTTAAGGATGATTCTTTTGTTTATGTTTCTTTGAGTCACTGTTGGCTCTTGGTGATTCATTCAACGAATCCCTGCAGTTCTTTTAGCAAGATTTCATATGTGGTTTGCCTACAGCTGAGTGAATAACTGCCCAAAGACACCAGTTGATTTCATGCCTATGGCAAGTCTAGAACTTTTTCCCCCCTATATGCAATTTCTATTCTGATGCCTTAACCACTACACCAATGGTCTACAACGAGTCAATAACCTTCAAATAATCAATAAAGCAGGAATCAAAATATTTGTGGAACTGCTTACTTTTTCCATTAAACAGTAGATTTCAACAGTGTGATCTTCTGACTCGTAAGAGCCTGTTTATATACTTGACTTTGCCATTCCATACGTAGTTGAAATGTGGCTTGCCAAACGTTAAGCATTATTTTATTAGCATGTAAGATAATTGTTTGGTAATTAGATCGTTCTTTATCACTTCCCTGCCTGCCTGCTTTCCATCCATCCATCAATTAATCTTTTTTGGTCACCTGGATCATTAGACCACTGTTACCTCCATATTTGCTTTGAAATTGTTTGTAGCCTTTTAATTGCATTATAAGATTTCAAAAATACACACACATACACAAAATAAATATTGGATTGTGTTTTCTGTATTATTAAGAGTTACCCTGTCAGGTTCTTTAGAGCATTTTTAAAAAAGTAGTTTCTGTTTGACTTTTTAGAAGTGTATTTAAATGGACTGCTGTGATCTTAAAAAGGCAATTAACATACAAACATTATCAGTACACCCAGAAGCACTTTTGCTGGAATAGATGGTTATTTGTCATTTGATGTTCTGAATATTAAACATAGCTTTTTCAAAGTACTTTCCAGGTTGAATGTGTATGCATAGAGGCTGGGATTGGTGTTCAATTATTGTTGCTAGTCTCATTAAATCATTTTGGAGAATGAACTGAATATGCACCTTAGAAATTATTCATTTCAATTAATTCTAACCTTTTAAAAGAGCATGTAATTCTGTTTCCCATCTCGCTTATCCTGTGCTTCTTCCTATAAACACATGTAGAGTGCTCTATCAACTGCTTTCTACGTTTTTTTCTCCCTATATGCTACAAGAATAAAAGACTGCCTGGAAAACAGATTTAGAAACTCATTGGAAATGAGTGAAAGCTATCACAGAACTAGATCACATTAAAGATAGAGAGGCAGTGGTTTGTAATATAGGAGGTTGAGACCCAGGAGACAAATACTGATTTAGGGATTGTAATAATTGCCCTCAGGATTGAAATGATGACTTCTAGGAACAGAATGTCAATTCAATTCCAACACTTGAATTTATTTGACTTATTAGCAAGCTAATAACCTGCATAGTGATCAATTGCTTTTCCTACTAAAGGCATATTAATAGCTATTATTTTCACTGAGACTACTCAGTGAAAATTAGAATGCTTAGAACAAGAGTTCTAATTTGATCTGATTTCAAAGTCAGTCTTATCACAATCACAGCTTTAATAAGAATTGGTATCCCTTTATTGAATATTTGTTTGGCTGTTTGCTTAGCTTACTACTGGCTTTTTCAGTTTGTTACAACAAATTGTTGCATTTCTTAATGATTGTTCCACTTAACTGCTTGTTTTGCACTGCAGTCACCTAATTTTTAGGTGACTGCAGTCACCTATTTTTAAGAGCTAAGCTTATCATAGCATGACACAATAAATAATTCCCATCACAAAGAATATGGCGAATAATAAGCAACTTCTTAAGCTACTACTGTATGCTATGCATTTCTTACTACAGTATAGCTGCTCTTGATACAGAGAACTGAAGATGAAATATTGTATACAGGTGATATAACTGTTGCAATCCAAAGGAGAAAGTATTCAGTTTTGCATCATTTCTATGCAGATTTATTTTAAAATATCTATTTGCATAACTCCTTTCTCATTTTTTAAATTACTATCCAGTTTCGTGTAAATTACTATTGTGCAATAGGCATTTACATTTTATTATGTTCCTCTCTGCCCTGTAATTTTCTATAGTAAGCTATAGTAAGCTACTTGAGGGACCATCTCATCCCCCTGGGATTGGCCTGCCCCAGACATGTTGACAGAAGAGGCATGC